ACGTGCTCGCTAAGGTCTAGGGCTAGGGTCTGGGTCTGGAGGAGCTGACAGACCTCTGCCAAACCCAAACAAAGTATATGGGTAGTTTTCCAAACTAGGCTCCCGTTATAGGTCCCCATACCAGTACGACACCCTGTTCCAAAAATGGACACTGAAAGGGACCCTAACCAGATCACTGCCCACTCACACAAAGGATACATGAACCCATGGGAATCGAATCGCCTGTTGCATGGCCCGGCAAGAGGCGTGGCGCATCTTACCCCCTATCGAAGCTTGAATATTTCTATATCGGCCCCTATGTCGACTCGAAGCTACAACCATGGCTTCAGGCCCATCTCCGTAACCGCGGTGAACGATCCGCCAACGTCGAATCAATAACAGCCCCAGCCAAAACAAAAGCAATGACCAGACTCAGACACAAAACAGAAGCAAACCATGGCGCACACAGATGCAAGCCTTCCATACAAACACTGCCGGTAAGCAAGGAAGGCAAGCAGGAGAGCAAAGCCGAACAAACATAGCTTCAACTCTAGTAGACCTCTAACCCTGAACCCGAAACCCTAAACCCTCACCCTATATAGGCTCAAACCCAAAACGTAACACTACAGCCCATCTTCCACATCAGCTCTGTGGTCAGAGGCCCGAACGACATTGCCAGGTGTTACCTTGGAGGTTCCGGTGTTTTTGGCTTGGGGCTACGATTTTCGGGCTTGGGGCCTTTTGCATCGATTCCGGTTCGGGGTCTAGGTTTCTAGCCTGAAGCCTACACCCCAGCACTTGGGCTTGGGGTGTGAGCCACCCCGCAGTTGGCAACGTGCTAGCAGAGACATTATGACATAGGGTCCTGGCGCGCGACGCATTGGAACTAATACGCTCTAGACTGCCCTTTTCAGTAGGGAATGGGCAAATACTTGGTCGACACACTGGCCCGGCAAGCCTGCCAACGGCCGACCGAAGTTCAAAGTGCTGTCGGTCCTCGACTGCACGGAGTCTAAGCGCAGTCTGGAGGAAGGTATCACGCGCGAACACAGTATCAACGGCATGCCTGGTGCAACATCCCCATGCCTTCCAGGCGCCAGATGCACCAGAGACAACCCCAACACGAGCTATACTGCTCCCCTACTCGGAGTTGACTATGAACCGAGCCCTGAAGCTCAGAGAACCCAACAATCAGATACTCCCAAATACTAACTATCCTAACGCCACCATACATGCATAAATACTGGGCGGGAGCGAGGAGGAAGAGAGAGAGAGAGGGAGGTCGAGTCAGTATTGAGCGTACTAGTCCTTCAACCTTGCAGCCCTGAGCCGTGAACTGCCAAAACACTTATCCAACATCACTGAACCTAAACCCTGAAACCGCGAACCTCAACCTGCTCAGCCCAACAAATCCTAAGACCCTGAACTTGAAACCCCAGCACTGAACCTGAAGCCCTCAGCCCTTAATCCAACGAGGACTCTACTCTTTGGAGCCTATACAGATATGTGATTTTATCTACATGTGTCAAAACCAAATTGCATAGTTAAGACGGCACCCTTGGTAAGGGCTCCTTCTGATGAGTAGCCGACAAGTGCTTGTCGATGCTATATGCTGGGGTAACCTAGTTTTCTATAGAAGCCTTCAACCTTAGGATACTTCTACTCCGGGTTCTCTCCAGCACCTTTGTAATCAGGATCAGCCCCAGGCTCCTCGATGATCTTAAATCCCTGCAGAGCCCCATAAACCCCTAAACCCTGTTATAAACCTTTCAGGGACGCCATAAAACCAATAAAAGTGCTCCCGATTTCCCGCAGCCCTCTGGGTTTTCTGCCTCCTGCAGCATGCTGAAGACTTGGGATTTAGGGGGCGTATGGTTTAGGGTTCCTTTGAAGTGTTTCGGGTTCCGTCGGGTTTCCTTCGAAGGGTTGAGGGCCCCTGTAAAGGCATAAAGCACTGATCCTCTGAGCCGGGCCACCCGAGACCAATACCTGGCATGCCACCGCACGCTGACAGAAGCTACTTCGGCTTGAGCTAGAGTTGAGGGTTTCAGGTGTAGGGCCCAGGGTTTGCAGTTTCAGGATCTATGTGTTCGAGCTGTGGGCTTAGGATGGTTTAGAGTCTGGGCTTGGGGTCGAAAGATCGCGGTCCGGCTCTACATCTTATATGACCTTATATATGGGATATGAACCCTAGAACCGTTCTAGGCTTCGTTTGGTCTCCAAGGTAGACGATACGGCTTGCGGGCTCGGGAGAAAGCAGTGGATCGGGCCTTAGGGTCAAGTGACCGTGCATTTACAGTTTATCATGCTTGAAGGTTCATGGGCAGTTGCGGCGCTTCATGCACACATGAGGTCCTCAAACATGTTCCGCCGCCTCGACGAACAAAATACTTCCGACGGAAACCAAGCCCTGAAATCCAATCCTGCATGGTCCTACCTCCTAGACCTCCTAGACCCGAAGCCACAAACCCTAGACCCTGCACCCTGGATCCTGGACCTTGCGCGACAAGCCCTAAGCAGTCCGTGCCAGGTCGGCTCGTGGCACTTCGCCTGAGCTTTGGCCAGCACCTCTGAATTCTCTGTGCCAGCGCAACCAACGATATCACGCGTGGAGCTGTATGGGGCTTGGGCTTAGGTCTGCGCCAAAGCCTCAATCCCAAGGCCTAAGCTTTAGGGTGTAGGATTTGGAAATTATGTGTGGGCGACTAAGAAAGCACGATGTTGCGAGTGAGGCTTTCGTGTCACAAGGAGCGGAGCAGGCAACAACCATGCAATTTCTTCCGGCAGTGCTGAATGCGTCATGCGGTAAGGGGGTCAGTGAAATGGTGAAACCAAGCGGATTTCAAAAGCTCTGGCCAACTCCGGTCACCGGAAATCACCACCATTCCAGGCAGCTTCTGAGAATAGCCAGGTCGGTCCTTTAAAGTCTAAAGTCTCTGAAATGTTTTCGTTAGTAAGACCAAAACATCCAGCTTTTTGCAGAACGCAAGCACAAAACATGTACAGCTGGATTACTGGTAGACCCTGAGTTTACGAAGGCTAAATACCCAAGACCTCGCATGTCAGTCCCTAACCCGACCCCTCAAAAGGAAAGCCTCAAAACCTGCGTCTGCAGCGTGAGACCGTACGCCAAATATGGCTGGTCATACCACAGCTGAATTAAAGGAGTAACCCAGCCAACCTTCAAGGTCTAAGCGCAAAGAAACCACTGTTAGATACTATTTATCTGCTTGCATACATGACTGTCTGTATATGTAGATATAAGCGTATGCATTTCTAACTATCTTTACACATACATACACATATACATATACACTATGGATGCAATTGCAGGTGCATATGAAAATGCAGTCGCATATACATATATGCATGCGTTTATGCATATGTAAATGGAATTGTATACGTATATGTATATGTGTACGTATATGTGTATGTACGTATGTATGTTTGTATGTACGTATACATGTATTTGTGAAGAGTGTGTTTGCACGTGGCTATACATGGTATATATATATATATATATATATATATATATACATACACACACACACACACACCCATACTTACGTACATACATACATACATACATACGTGCACTCACACATGTATATATATATATATATATATACATATGTATGTATGTATGTATGTATGTATATATATATATATATATATATGTGTAGGTGTGTGTATATATATATATGTATATATGTATATATACATATATATACGTAGAAATATGTACACATACATGTTCATGCCTCCGACTGGCTCAGTGAAATCCTGTTCGCAATTTCGACTCGATGTTCGGCCAGAGCTTTGCATCTCTGCGAGCCTCAGAGCTCAGTCGGATGCAGTGCCCTCAAAGCCTTGGCCAATCGCCCTGAGTAGCAACAACGCAAAGATTGGCCGCAGAGAAATCTCTCATAAATTTCGCACCCAGACACTCCAATATCCCTAAATTAAGCAAAACCCCTTAAATCATATTAGGGATCCTACTATAATTTACGGTACATTCCTTAATCAAGGGATATTGGAGTCTCTGCAGGCCGAGATTGTGGTCAAATATTCAGCGACGCAACCGGTTTCTGTGTGACCTGCGGACGTTTTCCCACTCGAACTTGAATGCAAAGCACACTGCAGAAAATGGGCCCTGACTTGGCCCTCCATGACGTCGGTCGAAGCTACGTGCTCGGAGGTATTTTGATCCAAGGACGACGAAATTATTTTGTTGTTAAGGGATTTAAGGCTTCAGGGTTTAGGGGTAGATCACGGTTAAGGGCTCTGCATTGAGGACATCACTACTGTCCAACCTCCACATGCGACAACTTGGCCATTTCGGGTCCATGGTGCGAGATGGTGCGAGGCATCTATTTCGACACATGCCGAGCCATTCTCTTCGCCCCACACGTGTGTGAAACAAGATAGGCCAAGATCCTTGCACAGCGTTGTTTGCACGTAACTACATGGCAATTCGACTCAAGCAATGGGCATAGCAACTCCATTCAAAACATAGATGTCCTTAGGACATGGAGTCTGCTAGGTCAAATCTTCAGGGTCGGCCCCATCTCGTGATGTGTACCGGTTTCTGATGATCTCATCCCGCCGTGCATGGGTTCTTGTTAAGGAACATAATTTTCAAGTCGCCTTAATAGGGGTTGATCGTAAACAGTATGGCTTCCGCACTGTGCAAGAATCCAGGTGCATGTATGCCATCACATAGACATAGTCGATGTGCTCAAGCCCCTGCCACGGCGAAAGCATGCAGTGACGCTCACAGAGCAGCGGATCTTCGAAAGGGGACTAGTAATGACCAGTAGATTTTAGGGTTTAGGGTTTAGGCAACAGGATATCCTGCATTTAGGGTTTCGGGATTTAGATATGGGCAGTGCAGCATTCGACGGAACGCATATGTCACGCTGGCAGCGGCCAATCGCTACTTCCACGAGACGGAGGCCACATTCATATGTCAACGAGACTTGCAGTGACAAGTAGCAAAATCTCCGAGATGTATACTTACATCATACTCTAGAAGTACAAACTAGAGGTGTCGTGCCTAAAGGAAATCTGCAAATCATCCGATGGCCAGCGGAGGCAGATTTCTGACCTTGCGGCAAGCGCTCGTCCTGCATCTGTGCCACTTCGCGCCGCCGTGCCTTCTTTGCACAGGAACTTTTCCAGTCTCCTGGGAAGGCCAAGCCCGTCCCTGCGCGTTTGTCCTTGCATGCCTGAGGCTCGCACCGTCCACTCGTGCACCTCCAGGTCCTGCAAAGGCTGCGCAGGCTCTGTTTTGGGCCCTGGTGGGAGCAAAGAAGGAACCCAACACAATTCTTTTGAGCTTTCAGCACCTCGGCCATTGACTGATGTCTGGGCGTGACTTTGTCGTCCTGCATCGCCATCTTACAATGAAACTCCCGAGGTACCTGACGGCAACGCTTCTGAAAGTCCCCCTTTTTGCTGCAAGCTTGCTTGCAAGGATTCCCCCAAACCCTGAACCTTAAACCGGAAAAAAAAGCCCTAAACCTAGACTCTGAACCTTCAAGCCTGAACCCTTCAACCTAAGCCCTGAGATCTTTCATGAAAGCACCCCCCTCTTTTCACACCAGGGCAAGGGCATGGGGGGCCCAAAGGGCCGAAGCACTCCGATGTGAAACGAGCAAAGGTGAAAAACTTCGGGGCTCGGCTGTAGAGTGTTTCTTTACACGTGTATGTCTATATATGTATATGTAGATGGGAGTTTCCGAAAACAGGGGACCCTAATATGGTACCCTAAATAGTAGATCCTTATCATCAGGACCCCCAAATAAGGTACCCCCAATGTTCGGAAACTCCCATATGTATATATGTATATATGTCTGTTTGATCATTCCCAGAAAGCGACGCATCACAACGCAGCTCCCCAGCTGCGTTCTTCAAGTAACGAGCCACTCTTCTCTTGGAGAGTCGATCAAAAAAAGGACTTGAGCACGTTATGCACCTTTAAGCCCGGAAAGGCTGGAGCCGTTCTTGGCCCATTAGCACAACTGCGCGCAAGGTTGGGCTGCGATCAAAACTCGCAGCGAGCATCTTAAAGTTTAGTCCTTATACCGTGACCTTCCGGACGGTTGTTGCCAACATCCGCTGTGTAAACCGAGCTCACCATGCGCGCCGCGGCGCTACGCTGCGACGCATGCGCGACCATGTCCTCAGAAGCATAGAAGAGCCTGGACCCTGGACCCCAAGCACCGCAAGGGCACTGCAAACGCCAAGAAACCCCGAGAAACCTGAGCCCTCAGCCGATCACCCGCGACAGCAGGTGGCTGGCCGAGTTAGAGTTCCTGGGTTCTCAATGCGACTTACCACAACATGGATCTATAGTAATCACCGAGACGAAAATTCGACATACGGGGAATGCTGACAGTATACCATGAACATCGGCCGGGGAGAAGCGGCGAGGCCTCAGGCATGGCGGAGTAGTTGAATTCCTGGAATACTTTTATCCTACTGTACAGTTCTCGCCGGAGAGCCTTTGCGATCTTTGCGTGATGTCAAGATATAGGCTGTGTGGCGAACTTTACCCTGCGGTAGAAATAGTAAGAAAAGGAAAATACTAGTAATGAGAATAAAAACACAACAATGATCACAATGCTTGTAATCCTGGTAATAGGCAGAAGAGTACTGGTCATAAGGGTTATGGTAAGAAGAGTAATCATAAGAAGAAGAATAAGAATAAACCCTAACCCCCAAACCCAAACCTAAACCCCGAAACCCCTCAACACTCAACTCCAAACTTAGGATGGTATGACCCCGAAGCCTTCTTGTAGTTGTTAACTATAGTAAGCCACAGTCCGCTACTGTAGGAACCTGATCAAGAAACCCTGGTCCTACAACCCCCAACACAGTAGGATTCATAATGAGGAACCCTAATAAAGGCCCGAGGTGTCTTAATCAGGTTCCTGCACTACCCCCAAACTTATTGATTTATTTAACCATCTATCTTTCATATCTATCTATCTATCTATCTATCTATATACATATATGTTCGGCATGGATTTGGTATCTTCAAGAGCCGAGGTTCCAAGACCAGCAACTCCGGCTCCTCCGGCTCGAGCCAACGCTGCCTCCCAGGCCTCTCCTGCACGAACGAAGGCCTCAGGGCACGAGGGTTCCTTTAAGGATTTTGTTGGGGGAGGGTTTAGGGTTTAGGCTTTAAAGGTTTCGGCGCTCACACTCGGACAATCCAGGCGAGGCATATGAGTTTGCGTCTGCAGAGTGAAACGACACTAAGAGGCTTCGTCACTACATATAAGCAACAGAGCATTGCAACACATAAAGTGACTGTGTCCGCCAGCGAAACCTCTCCTTGGAATCCCTTGATTGAAGCACCGCAGGACTTGGGACTCCAAGGTTGTATAGTCAGACGGATCGCTGAGGGTGGGTTCAGGGTAAAAGGCCCCCATGGTAGGTTATGCGATAAAACGAGATGTCTAGGAGGGTTAGGGCCAGGCCGACCCGGGAGTTGTCGATCTGTTGTAGAAACATGAGTACCATGTTTCAATGTCAGCATGTTACCGACCATGCAAAGGAATTATTTACGTACAGCATCGTGAAACTACGGAATACGTGGAGCTACGTGCAGGCTATATAAACGCACAGACGGGACTGACTACATGCACAAGTGCCGGACCACATACGCACTACAGCCTCTGGGCTTCATTCTGTGTGGCCAGTGCAGTACTCGGATGCTCTTCGTTGTGCATGGCCAGGGCAGTACTCGGATGCTCTGGGCTTGGTTCTGTGTGGCCAGTGCAGTACTCGGATGCTCTGGGCTTGGTTCTGTGTGGCCAGTGCAGTACTCGGATGCCCTGGGCTTCCTTCTGTGTTGCCAGTGCAGTACTTGGATGCTCTTCGTTGTGCATGGCCAGGGCAGTACTCGCATGCTCTGGACTTGGTTCTGTGTGGCCAGTGCAGTACTCGGATGCTCTGGGCTTCATGCTGTAAAGGTTTAGGGCCCAAGGGTTTAAGGCTTAAGGGTTTAGGGTTTAAGGGTTTAGGGTTCTTGTGAGTGAAAGGATCTATAGGGATTCCTTTGAGGAATGGAGGAATTGGTTGAGGGTTGAGGGATTGGAGTTTAGAGTGGACGGTTTCGGGTTGAGGGTTTGGGGCTTGGGGTTTAGGGTTGAGGGCTCGGGAGCCGCACTGAACTGGTCTTGCATCCTCTTCACAGAAGAGCCGATCTGAGGGGCTGACAGCGGCGGCTGTTGTGGGACCTCCCGATAGCACCGGAATAAGTTAGGTTGACTACCGTCTGCGGCTGCGATACCAACAACATGCACGCCCTTCCTGGTAGAGCTCTTCGCGTGGCAGCTGGGGATGCGCTCGACGATCTTGGAGGTCTTGCTGCAGTTGCAACTGCTGCATCTGTAGCTGTTGCAGTTGCATTTGTTGTTGCAGTTGCACCTGTCGAGCTGCTGCTTGTTGCATTTGTGTCTGGGCTCGGAGTGGGTACATTGCAGCCGCATTCATGGGAGGCATTGACTGCATCGGCATTTGAGGCTCCCAGCCACCCGCACAGGGGCGGTTGTCGTGCGGCATGAAAGCTTCTTGGAACCAAGGGCTTGGCGGCTCCACCCACCGCTCCGCATAGCCCATCCAACCATAATTCGAGTAACTGCGGCCATAGGATGCCACCCCACTATTGCTTTGAGAGTTACGGCAGCTTCTGGCACGCGAAGATGAGCGTGACGACTGAGAGGAACCTGCAATCGGGATCACAGCAGCTTCAAGCAACACAGGGTGTGCAAGGGGGGGTGCGAGAAACCAGTGCCAACGCTGAATTGCCAGCAACTTCAGCGCAGAGCAAGTTCAGCTGTCTGGTGCTTACTTAGTAGGGAATGGGGAATGGATCCCTATAGTAGTCCCCAAGAATGGTCCCCATAATCCATTCCCCCCATTCCCTACTAAGCACCAGACAGCCCGCTAAGAACCCTAAACCCCTATAGTATAACCCTTATAGGAACCCTATTCCCTTCTAGGCCTTGGGCTCTGCTGTATGCCTCTGGGCACCAGGATGCAGAAGTACCTGTGCTGGAGTCCTGGCCATATTGCGAGAAGCCCAGACCTTCCAAAATCCCCTAAATTAAGGAATATACCTTTAAATGATAATAGGGTCCCTACTATGATTTAGGGTATATTCCTCAAATTAAGGGCTTTTGAAAGGTCTGGGAGCTTACCGGAACAACAATTCCTGCGACGCAGAAACCAAGACTGCGATGGGCCTTTGGGCGTAGCAGCATGGCATGGAATCCTTAACCCCAAACCCCAAAAACATCCCCCCTCAAAAACAAAAACGTTTTGCTCGCGTGATCATGTCGAACCTGGAAGCTCTCCGTACCGGAAGGCTTTTTTGAGGGCCCTTCTTCCATCTGCAAAGCCGGACAAGCAGTACACCATAGAAAGCCCTTCCAGTGTAGGGTTTAGGGACTAGGGCCTAGGGTTTAGAGAGAATCAACCCCCATATCCCAGACCCTACACCTTAAACCCTGTTGCTGCCTTCCGGTGCTCGCTCTCAATTCGGGCCACAAGTTCCTGTGCTTCGGCAAACCTCTGCAAAGTCAGCCCGGTAGTCTCTCGCACTGAACTCACAGAGCGCCCAATACCCCTCAAACGAGAAAGATGCCGTAAGTTCCGGGGGGTTCCCGAAACATTAAACTCCGAATGGTATGATCTAGGTTCTCTTCAACCCTATAAACCCTAAACCCTACATCCTAAGCCCTTATCAGGCGTATTGAGCACTCTGGCTGGACGCTGCGCAGACAAGGCCCCAACAGTTCCGGGGTCACGCTCTCCTGGACACGGGCGGCGACGTCCTCGAGTCAAGACGAGGGCCAGCAACAACACCCACACCATCACTCAACCCCCAAAACCCTAAAACCGTTAAATCCACAAAAACCAAACCCCGCAAAACCTGATTCATTACAATAGTAAACCCTATAAATCGTTCCCGAGTCCTTGAGAAAACCCGAATACTAACGCTTAAACTACCCTTATAGCAGTAGCCTCACCCCTTGCCCGCCTTGACTCGGCGTCCGTTGTCAAACATTGCCATCACGAGATCATGATGGCCAGCCGACACCTTTCTTGGGTTTAGGGCCCAGGGGTTTCGGGCCGTAGGGTTTACGGCTCGTTTAAGGGTTCCAGTAAGGGATCCTATCTTTATGGGCTTTACGCTCTCACAACTCGGACTCTTTATGGGCTTTAGGGTTCAGGGTCTAGCCAACCGAAACCTGACTCTCTCTTCTTCCAGAAGGCCGATCACTCTTTGAGCGCCTCTTTCAAATCAGCCAGTTTCGGTAGAGAACCAGCATTTGCGGGAGGCTGGAGCATGACCCTTTGAGTTTGGGGTTTAGGGCTTAGAGTGAAGGGTTTAGGGTTCAAAGTCGAGGGTTCAGGCGTAGAGTTTAGGGATCAGGGTTCAAGGCTCAGAGTTTAGGGTTTGGGACCTAAAGTTTTACGAAAACCCTCTTGGGATTCTTCACCTTCTGGCCTCCATGTCGTTTCCGGATGCCAAGATAAAGGCGAGATTCGGACCTGACTTGCTTCAGCAGATGGCTCGGATCGCAAAGAAAAGCCCTGGGAGCAGCCTAAGATCCCTGCATTAAGGAAGCTGATGTTGGAACCTGATTAAGAAACCTTGGGCCTATAACGCCAAAAAGTAGGGCTCATAAAAGGAACCCCGATAAAGGCCCAAGGTTTCTTAATCAGGTTCCTACTTATGTTCAATCACAATATTGAGGCCCGTATAGCCGAAGGTACATTCCTTGTACCAGGGGTCGGGGCCTCTTCGGGAACCTTCAAATGTGCAGGCTGAGTTAAGCTGCGCACTGAAGCCCTGCACGTAAGCGGACTTCACCAATCGAAACTGTTGCGGCCCTCTCGCCTGAAGGCAGTGCTTGTACAGCCCTACAAGTTGCGTTCATGGTCGAAGGAACCAAAAGGGGATCATAATCTACAAATGATGAAGATGGCGACGAATGTGGAGGTCATGATGATGGTGATCTGCGTAGTAGCAGTAGGAGGAAGAGGAAAACAAAGAGGAGGATGATGCCGATGCTGACGGCGATGTTGACGACGAGAATAATGTCGATGATGCCGGCCATGATGAGATGAGGAAGGCGAATGATGGCGACGGCGATGACGATAGTGAAGACGATGGTGATCATGGTGATGATGATGATGATGACGACGGTGACGACGATGCTGGCTACACCAATGATGACGATGATGACAACCCTGATGACGATGACGATGATGATGATGACGACTACGGCAACCACAGCAGGACTCATAGAAGTAATAGTAACGAGATGGATATAAGTGAGGCTGATCGGACCGATAACAACAGAACAGTCAGTATACTCCAGTACTCGAATCGAAAGCCGCAAGAGCCTACGCTGACATACAGTTATTTGTAATGATACTAACAACAAACCATGGCATGAAACAGGACAGTACCGCTCACAATGCTAAGAGCAGTCGAAGGGAGTCGCATGTCAACGCCAGAAGCCCTAAACATTGAACCCCGACGCGTTGCACCTTGCAGAGGGCGCTGAAGCCGATCCTGGCGAAGGGCAGGTGTCCCTGTGCTCTGTTGAGTGCTTGGGTGCTAGTTGGTCTTACGGTTGAGGGTTCTTTTGTCGTGATTAGATTGTTTAAAACGCATGAGGCTTTAGGGTTCAAGGGGTCGCGTGGCTCGTCTGCCAAAAAAGGGCTCGGTCGTACTCCCACCCCCTGCCCCCCCTGGCCCTGGCCCCCTGGCTCCCCCTGCGCCTTCCAGAAATGCGGAAAGCCGAAGTGTGGTAAGCTGGTGTTGGTTTTTGCTTGCTAAATTCCGTTCATAAAAACTGCATTTTAATTAGGGCCAAGTGCCAAAGTCGAGGTCCCCCTCTTTCTCTATGTGGGCCTGCTCTAAACCCTTCGGGACTGCTCGAGGCCTCGCCCTGGTTTGCCCTGCCTGCCTTTAAAGAAATAGAGAAACCCTTTTAGGTGCTAAACCCTAAAAGGAATAGGTTTGGGTGGTTTGGCCGCCTTAGACGGCATGGGGTGGGAGAGTTAAAAGAAACAGCCACCACAATCAGGCTCCAACAGCCAATCGTCACGGGACGACGCACTCGAAATTACACTGTCGCAAGATACTCCCGCTTATGCGCCACTCCACGGCAAACCCTGAACCTTAAACCCCATACTAAACCCCGAACCCCATACCCTAAACCCCATACCCTTAACCCTGAAACTTGAACCCGATGCCCTAAACCCTAAACCCCGTACCCTAAACCTTAAACAAATATACCTATGTATATTTAAACCCTATAGCTTTCGTGGTGATTGATCAAAACTCGTGGCGAATTGGTGATTGGTCAAAACTCGTGTCGAATTGATGCCCTCCCAGGGCAGGGCATTTGCCAAGACAAGAACCTTACCACAAACACTTGCGAAGACAAAAATCTGATCACAACCACATGCGAGCCATCAACGTTTCGCAAGACAGAGAACTGAATCTAACAAGTTTTCGGTTTTACAGGAACAGTCTATGATAGGGCTACTATTAAGGGCCTTATATATCTATATTATGAATATTATCCAACCGTTACTGAGTGGGGGCCGTACCCAAACCATACTATACGTGATAGATTATACCATAAAGCGCCCTACCATATACAGTATATGCTATAATATATATATATATATATATTACATTATACAAGTATATACTCTACAGTCACTACCAATCACTCCCAAATCTAATACACATCTGATACTATAATGTCTAGAATATGATCTAGCATACTATAACATATGCTACAATATACTATAACGCACTACACATAAGTTACGATAATCTTTCACGATACACAGGATGGGCTTCCCGCCGAACGAGAAGCAAAAGCAGCAGGGCTCCCCCTGGCAAATCGCGTTTCCCTCTCACATCCAGTGTGTCGTTGGGAGCCTGCTGAAACGCCGCAGCTATGTTTAACATCTTATAGTATATTCTGGTATATTGCGGAAAATGAAAAATTATCGTGTTCCGACTGGTTGCCGAAATCTCACCAGCACAGCCCATCGAGGAGATGCTGCACTTGAGCCAACATGGAACCGCTGACTCTCCCCCTCTCTTTCCCTCGGATCTCGGCATGTCCTCGCGGACTCCTCGTCAACATAGTTGACCTTGGTTCGGGGTCTAGGGTTTAGGGTTTAGGGCTTTGAAGTCTTGCTTGCAGTTCTAGAAGCCGCAGAACCCCAAACCCTAAACCGCACCCCAAAACCTGCTGTAAACCCGACACCGCCCTGCCCACCAACCGCCAGCCAAGGGACGAAGGCCAGCCCTAGGTTCGTCGAAGTCTTGCTCCCCACCGGCACATAAACGAGGTCAAAGTTCTTCGTGATCGTGAAAAGCCTGGCGAATCTAAGGGTTTGGAGCTTAGGGATCAGGGTTTAGGGGTTAGGGTGTAGGGTTTAGGGGCTGGGGTACGTTTTAGGTTTAGGGTTTAGGGTTCTGCACAGAAATGTGGCTCAAAGTCAGGGATCAGGATTGAGTCCTGAAGCTGAAGAAGTCGTGCGCCCAACACTGATGCTCCCTCCAGTGTTCCAATGAC